TTCGGTCTACGAAAATAGTGCTTTAAAATAGGTATGTATGTTTTATGCCCCCAATAAGTCCTACTTAATTTTTCAGAAATAAAAATGTTTCAATATCTTTTTTAATCAAACAGGATTATTTCTCAAAATTACAAATTCAAACACTGGTCCTGACAATCTGGAAACATCCTGTACAGTTGACTAATTTAAAATTACGTTTTTTCATTTAAACAGAACTATTTTTTTTGTAAGAATAACTTTTCCAGAAAAAGAAAAATAAAAAAGTTTGTCCTCTTTTCAACTTTGCAATCGGCAACAAAAATTAAACTGGATCGAAGTAGGACAATATTAAAGTTTTTTTGTTTTTTTTTATCTATAAAAGATCAACACAAAAAAACCTAACAGTTGTTGCGACGACCATATGGATAAAGAATTGGATCTTCGCATGGCCTGTCTTTCATTTAGAATCTACTTAGAAAAATTGCACTTGTTCAATCGAATATTCCGAATTTTGCATTTGTAATGAGTATTTTGCTAAAAACAAATCATTTGTTTCCCTGGTAATCACCACTTAAAATACACAACGGCGGCTTTGGAAACTTAAAAGATGATATATTGGTCCGCTTTGCGCAAGGAATGTGGCAAGACCAGAAGCAGTTCATTTGAATGTCACCGAATAAGGTCTCGATCTCGCAGATGTTATCGTTAAGACAATTCTGGTTATTCGTGGTCTTACTTAATTCCATGATTTTGCACCTCACGCTCAAAGCAGACAGGATTTTGACCTTTGATAATTCAGAAAGAAGAACTAGGACTATTTGTCATGATATTAAATGGAGATTAGATCAGAATATGACCATCTGGTTTTCCTGATTTTGTATCAATTGAATAATGTGGTTCTAGTGTTTTTTTTTGGCTGTTATAATTCAAAATTATTTCTAATGTTATTTTCGAAGACAAATATTCTGTATGAAAAAATATGTGTATATGTAGACAAAGGAACATAGCAGAATTTTTACGAAGGTCGCTACAGTTCATCGACAGGGTCACAGGATATATCAGACCCGTTGTTCGAATCGCGTCGTGCTAAAATGGTAATTTTTAGAATCTTTTTTGTGATATTCTCCACACGTATTCAAAGCTGACATCACCCTCGAAAATGCTACCTGTCTGGGTTCCGTAAAACCACATGATGAGTAATACAGATTTAGACTATTTCAGGATTCAGAAATACTAAGAGTTCGATTTTAGTCAAAGATAAACCTAAATATTCATTGCGGTCATAAAACTTTTAACGATTGTAACGAAAGTACACCACCATCACGTATGTCGTCTATTGGAAACACAAAAATACAAAAATGGTGGTCTGTGGTCTGTTCTTTTGATGAGACTTTGCAATTGATATGTTTTAGGACCCTCTGAAGACGAACGAACCTTTGATAGGCAAGAAGCAGAAGATCAGAAGTGGGATTTTTAAAAATACATCTTTACATGGTATTGTTGAAATGTTTTAACGAAGATAAAATATAAAAATGTGTTTTTCATTTATTTTCCTACGAAATTATACATATACCTTGAAGTAAATCATTTCAAAATCGTCCTCCCATTCGTGTCACATCCAAATATAGTCATCATTAGATCCTAATTAGCCTTTATTTATAAATAGTTTTACGAGATTACGTTTTTATAATCAAGCAGGTATTTAAGAAAACCGGTTGTGCTTGGTATAACTTCTGCACAGGTTGTTGATTCCGATTTTAAAGTAAATAAGAGTACACTAACTTTCTAGATGTGTTGACCTGAAATCGGCCTTTAAGGAAATTACATTTTGCTAAACAAAGCTATTTTGACAGATTGATTTTTGTTATTCTAATCGGGATTTTGGTGGTGAATATTTTTATTTTCCTGAAGAGTCGATTGCATAATATAAACACGTGCGCGTACCTTGGTACAAAACTGTAAATTTTTACATAACCAGTTTATAGAAAACCACAAAGCACTGCCTCATCTGTGACTACATATTTCAGTAACTCCGTCCACATTGTTATTCAAAATGCAGTTTTATTGTACTGCGATTTATTGAGCAGGCGAGTAATAAATCTTGGTAAGCTGTGAATTAATGAGAGAAACTTCGGTGTACAAGACAAAATCGACGGGGTAACGCGATATAAAGTAAAAGAGCAACAAAACAGCGGAATATCAATTGGCAATCTTGATGTTATAGTGAGGTAAAAATAGTTATGTTTTCGATATTTCATTATTAACGTGGCTGTTCCCACAAAAGAGAGTTTTCTACAACTTTGTTTCTGGTATCGAGGGACATTTTGCTTTTAAAATAGAGTAAAAAATAACAATACCCAAGTTGAACAGTCTAGTCTTAGTCTCCGATAATGTATCGTTATTGTTCATAAATCTAGAGGTGTTTAAAATATTTAGCTTTACTCACCTTAGTTTTAGACCAAGAAATAAAGGTGAAAAATCATGGAGAACTAGTGAAAATTACTGGGCGTGATTTTATTGTTGGAAAGTTTTGGAAATAATAATACAAAATGCGTCTCTTCAAATGGGTCATGAAAAAAGTATAGCGTCATTGTTTTTTATCAACAAATGGGTAAAAAATTCGTCATTTTTCGTTCTACGCGTTATTGTAAAAAAAAACTATTAATCTAGAGAAACTCATATTTAAAATGAGACTTTATAAGTTAAAATTGCTTTATAAACAAAAAAGTTATTGCAAAATTAAACGGAAAAAGTGCTTTTTCTTTAATTGTTAATAACTTTTTAAATGATTAATAAAATTTTACCAAATTTTCCCAAAATATGAGTTTTTATATGATTAAGAGACATGCAAAGTATGGGCTCGATCGGTCAAATAGTTTTTGCAAAATTCCATTTACTTATCCCATGTTTGCAAAAAGGCCTATTTTCAAATGACTATTCCGGGGGCAGGGTTATGACTAATACATTCTTTTTGGGCTCATTTTCTTCGAAGGGACACCAAGTATCCTCTAGTTAAAAAAAAATATATTTTTTTCAAATTTAGTTGTATACAGGGTGTCTCATAATTAGCTGCCATCCCTGAACAGGCCGATTCTATGATCAAAACTAAGTAAAAAAGTTCATATGAACATGGGTCCGGAAATGCTTCCTAAGGGCACAGGGACCCATTGAAGAGGGAGGAATGGAAATCATTTTTTTGCAATATCTCTCAATCGCGTTGTGATAAATGAATGAAATTTGGTATACACAGCTAAATTTTGATGAGCAATTTGATGGACTAATCCATTTATTTCCACAAGGTCCATTGGGGTGGGTACGGGGGGGCCCTTGGTACTTTGCGTGTGTAACTTTTTCATCTTTGACTTTTTAACAAATTGGACAGCAAATTCCGTTTTCCCGAACTGTTTTACGTTAAAAAGGTACTCTTGTTTCAAATCGTTATCTTTAACGGTTTCTGAGAAAATCGCTCTTGAATTAATCCCACTTTGGTCAATTTCATAGTAATTTAAACAAAAAAAATTTTTTTGTTTAAATTTAATCTAATTTTAATAAAAAAATAATAATAAAAAATTAAATTAAATAAAAATTAATCCTTTAAATGGAAAAGAGAGGAAAGGAAAATTATTATTATTTTTTTTTGTTTAAATTACTATGAAATTGACCAAAGTGGGATTAATTCAAGAGCGATTTTCTCAGAAACCGTTAAAGATAACGATTTGAAACAAGAGTACCTTTTTAACGTAAAACAGTTCGGGAAAACGGAATTTGCTGTCCAATTTGTTAAAAAGTCAAAGATGAAAAAGTTACACACGCAAAGTACCAAGGGCCCCCCCGTACCCACCCCAATGGACCTTGTGGAAATAAATGGATTAGTCCATCAAATTGCTCATCAAAATTTAGCTGTGTATACCAAATTTCATTCATTTATCACAACGCGATTGAGAGATATTGCAAAAAAATGATTTCCATTCCTCCCTCTTCAATGGGTCCCTGTGCCCTTAGGAAGCATTTCCGGACCCATGTTCATATGAACTTTTTTACTTAGTTTTGATCATAGAATCGGCCTGTTCAGGGTTGGCAGCTAATTATGAGACACCTACTACAATTGTTACCAATTAGAAGGCACTTTTTTCCTTAATAAACAAATAAAATAACTCCGCAAGTTTCTACGACCAATAGGTCCGGAGTTAGCAATATTTTTTTAAGTCACAGAGCAATTTGTTGTAAACATTAAGACCTGAAATTTTAACATTTTGTAAATGAAGGTTTAAACTTTATGCCCTGTTAATTTTAATTGAATTTGCCCATAATTGATCAATCCAGAGAAATTTAGAAATTGTCGCATAAATTTCATTCTGCAAAATAATTTTGGATTCGTTCATTTTGAAGAAGAAAGTTATATAATAATCATCTCTCCAATTTATCTTTTTTTTCGAATATCAAGTCAGAGAATTTCAGAGGAGCGTTTTTCAACTGTTAATATCTCGAAAACAGTTGAATGTATAAAAAAAAACTTAATAGGAAAAGTTTTATAACTAGAAGTTCTTTCCAATGTCGAGAAAAAAATGGGTGAATATACACCAATTATTTTATCCTTCACTTGAGTGACATTAACTGAAAATTTAACACCTTATCACAATTTAATTATTTTATTAACAATTTTCATTTTGACAAACAATCTGGTACTCAGTGTTATATTATAAAGATTTTCTCATCCTTAAATTAGGACATTAAATTTATATAAACTCTCTTTTGAAGACGAAATCTCTTTAATTTGAAATATGAAATAGTTTTTGATTTTATCAATGATAGTCACAAATAAAGGAACATCGACTAGACTATAAAGCTTTACGCTGATGTGAATAATTGAAAATATATTGCAAAGCCGCTATTTATGTTACATGCAATTTTGCAAAAATGTAAAAGAAATAACTAAAGATGAGTAGTGTGCAGGGAGATAATTTCTAAGCGTTTCGGCAGCTTTGAGGTTAACTTCAGTATTTTTATGCTACAATACTTACCTTCCCCCGTAAATATTTTCAGTGAGTGGCACACTTTCATCGTCTGAAAAGTTGTCGTCGCTGTAGTTTTCGCTCCTTAGGCCGGTGGAAGTCATTTCTGAAAAAAAAACCAAACACTAAAATCTGTAATCGCTTAAAAGTTATGTTAATATGTGTTTAACAAAATTTTCTTTATAATTAAAAAAAAAATACCTCTTGAAAATAGTAGCTTGAAATATTTAACCGTGATGGTTTGATTTTAAAACATTGTATTGGTCTTTTCAATATGAAATATTTTTTAATATTAATTACCTAATTAAACTCCTGACACCAATATTTAAAAGTATACACGACAGTAACAGTTTCCTAATAGCGCTGCTGAGTGAAAATATTGTTATTAACGCTATAAAAATAATGTTGGGAGCTAAGTATAAATATTTTTGTTTCGTTTAGAATTCATAACAATTGAACTCAGGTGTATAAATATTACGTAATATTTTATTGAAGCATCAGATGACTTTAAAGCGCAATTTCTCAAAAACTATTTGAGATATCAAGGAAAATCAAACAACAGGGAATTCGTTTTTAAAAGGGCTGTCGAACGAGGTCTCACTCCGTATATCTTACTATTAAAAAAAAATAGTGTAATATCCGGAACGCCACAAGTGCCACCTATGCGTGGGTTATAACAAAAAACTAATTATTTCGGCATTTTGCAAACATATATGTAATAAAGTTTTATTAATTTTATTCCAAACTTTTGGGATACGATATATGTTATAGATATGGTGTCATCTGAAATAATGTACGTACTACTTTGCTGTGTTTTCGAGATACAGGGTGTTGAAATTATAAACAATATCACATTTTTTTTAAATATATTTGAAGATCTCTGAGATAGATTTACTCCAGTAGAATTAATCATAAAACTTGAACACTTGAAAATTAATGACCGCAAAAAACCTATGATTTTCGCCCTCTCGGGAATTCGCTCTTTTTGCATTAAATACAGCTTATTTATACAGTAATTGAAAAAAGAGAAATCACCTAGCCCTCTTTGGTTCCAAGATAACTTTTCTTTTATAATGTAATGTAAAAAGATTCAATGTATTAAGGAGGTATATCGGGGTCCGACGGAAGTGAGGATCGCAGGGGGGTCCTATGCTTTTCTTATGGGACTAAAACCCGCTGCCAACTTGAGAAAATTAAATTCTATTAAAATTATTTGCGATAAACATTATCTATATGCACATAGCATACATATTGAAAATTAACAACATAAAAATATCATATTTAAGTAGTTTTAAATGATATTTAATGAACACATAAACACTATGTAGATGTGGCAACAACGCTAATAATCGAGTGCAGTTGTACACACTGCCAACCTACAGACCTCGGACATCGGAGATATTGCGCGTCAAATTCGGGTAAAGATGCGTACGCGTTCAAAAATGTATTGTGTGTAAACTATGTAAAATATAATTATTATATATAGCAAATATATCGTATTATCCTCGCGAAGATTTGTATCCTTTNTTTTCAGTTTTGAGAAAAAAATTTTTTTCGCCAAGTTACATAACCTTGAATATAGCAAAAGTACGTGTTTTTTGCACTTTTAGGTTAGAATATCTCGGAAACCTAGGGTGATGGATCAATTCTGAGGCCAGATTCGGATTCAGCGCGCCAAATGCCTTCGGAAGCGTAGTGTCTGATCTCTGGAATTTTTTTTTTTGAAATTTTGTCGGCCTGTGTTATTTAATAGTGTCTCAATCGCTTCACGCAGATTTATTTAAAAAAAATTATGTCATATTTAAGGAGTTGATCGTATGTGAAATAAGCCTAGGAATAAAAAAAGACAATCGATAAGTCGTAAAATAATAGCGCCCACATCAATTTTACAAAAGAATTGTCATTTGGACGTTTTTATGAGATTAATGTAAGCACTATAAATTTATTTATTGTTTATATCTTTTCTAGACATTATATAACGTTAATATGACCTGCACTGTCTCATAAATTGAGTAAAATGGCACAACTACAATAACCATAAACTCCTACTAGCGTCTATCAAAATATACCAGTATCGAAATTGGATTTTCATAGATCTTCTGGGAAAACCAGTGAATTCATTAAAGTCACCGTTGTTCATTAGTTTCTGTGTCCTGGAGATTCTTCCTTGTAATTTTGATGACAGCAGCCGTAAAGATCGCAACTACGATATAGACCGGGAGATATTAGACTGAAGTTCGACGACGTCTTTCTCGTTTATGCCTCTGAGAGTACTGACAGGTAACCGAGAGATAAGTGCAATAAACTAAATTTAAAAGATGGACTGCGGGACACCTTTGTGAAAATTCAATTTTCCTTTTCAAAAAAATAATGTGTACAGCGACGTATTTCTCACTTATGCCATGTTCGTAAGTTGAAGAGAAGTATCGATTTTATCACAAAATTTTTTTGGCATAAGTGTCGCAAGGGACCTAAAAATGGAAAACTTTGTAAGAAAATGTGGAAAAACATCTTTATTTGTCTACCAATTTCTCATTAATGCCAATTAGAAATATGACATTATTATATTCGAAAAGCTCATAAAAAACATTGGCATAAGTCCTACTAAGGACTAAAGAAAATAGAGCTTTGGAAAAGCTGCGGAAAATTTTTATTTTCATTCTATAACTTTCTCATTTATGCCGTTGAAAATTTATGATACTTACTATAAATAATGTACTGTGTCAAGTAGGCATCACTCCTCTATGGGTTCAATATGAAGGCATAAGTCTCAAAGTTGTAGGAAAATTCATGAAAATTTTTACGTCTTTCTCGCTTATGCCATTTTGCATGCACGTAGGAAACTACATTATAAAGTCATATAAATGTAGGCATAAGTCCACATTGGATTTTCATGTTGTAAATTAATTTGAATTTTAATATGAGTCAGGTCGACAAAGTAGAAAAATTATAGAAAATTGCCACAATTTTCTCGTTTATGCCGTTTTGTACACGAGTAGAAAATATTATTAAAAGCCACTTTCAAGAGTGGCATGAATGCCACAAGGTACCGTCGTATGTAAAATTTTTTAAAAAGTTGTCAAAAATTACAAATTGCGGTTATTTCCTCGCCTGCGCAATTTTCGATATACTTAAATTAATTTAAAAAATGTATGATAAATAATGCAAGTGTCGGAGAAGATATCTATATAAAAAATGAATATTTCTAACTATAAAAGGGAATAAAAAATTTAAAATAAAAAAAATTTCATGAAAAAGAGAAAGCTTTATATTGGGTTTAGTTTGATTTTTCGACATGTTATTTTTTATTACGATAATTCTTAATAACTTATAATAAAGCTGGTAGTAAGGCCTTTATTTTGATCCGTTTTCATCAAGAGCTGCAGATAAAACTGTTTGAAATTTGAAAATGTAAAAAATCATAAAACCGAAAAAACTTTTTATTTTTGATATGCTTTAATTTTAAGTTAATAAAAATTTGTATTATTTTAAGTGTTATTGTTTGTGTTAGTTATAATTAAAAATTAGTAATTCAAAGTCTTTGAGGAAGCATTCTGACAATTGAGTTGGCAGCGGTTTTTCAATTCAATTACTATTACTTAAATAAATCTTTTAATATAAAAATAAAATGTATAAAAGTACAAATTAAGTAATTAAGGTACAAAGTACCAGAAACAAAAAACAAAATTCAATATACATGATATTAAATCAGTTATAAATCAGTTTCTTCCCTATGTATTCTAGCTTAATTATTTCTTCTTCTTCTTCTTCTTCTTCTACCTTAGTCGGCTCAATTCAAGTAGATCATCCTTGCACTGAAGCGGTTAATTCAAATTATATAATATTTTTAATTTTTAAAATTTAAATATATTGTTCATAAATACGTATGGTCTATTGTGATAAAATACTCTACTCATTTACGAACAAACGAGAAATTTGTGGCAATATTATATAATTTTTCTTTTTCTGATCATGACTCAAAGAATAATTAAAAATCATTTCTAATATGTGGGGACTTAAGCCGAAATAGTTTATTATTAACTTTCATTAAATACATGAATTACTTATATTTATAAAAATTAAAAATACGCTAAATGCAAGTAAGTATAAGTATTTCGAAAATTGCGTAGGCGATGAAATAAACTTTTTAAAAATTTTTACATACGACGGTACCTTGTGGCATTCATGCCACTCTTGAAAATGGCTTTTAGTAATATTTTCTACTCGTGTACGAAACGGCATAAACGAGAAAATTGTGGCAATTTTCTATTATTTTTCTACTTTGTCGACCTGACTCGTATTAAAATTCAAATTAATTTACAACATGAAAATCCAATGTGGACTTATGCCTACATTTATATGACTTTATAATGTAGTTTCCTACGTGCATGCAAAATGGCATAAGCGAGAAAGACGTAAAAATTTTCATGAATTTTCCTACAACTTTTCAAAAAATTTTTAGCATATAGTCCTCACCAGGGACTTATGCCCTTTAAAAAAAATGAATACTTTCATTTTTTTCTTTGCAATAAGCTTTAATTTATTCACGAGAAAAACGTTGACCAAAACGAAAAATTTTCCGCAGCTTTTCCAAAGCCCTATTTTCTTTAGTCCTTAGTAGGACTTATGCCAATGTTTTTTATGAGCTTTTCGAATATAATAATGTCATATTTCTAATTGGCATTAATGAGAAATTGGTAGACAAATAAAGATGTTTTTCCACATTTTCTTACAAAGTTTTCCATTTTTAGGTCTCTTGCGACACTTATGCCAAAAAAATTTCGTGATAAAATCGATACTTCTCTTCAACTTACGAACATGGCATAAGTGAGAAATACGTCGCTGTACACATTATTTTTTTGAAAAGGAAAATTGAATTTTCACGAAGGTGTCCCGCAGCCCATCTTTTAAATTTAGTTTATTGTACTTGTCTCTCGGTTACCTTTCAGTACTCTCAGAGGCATAAACGAGAAAGACGTCGTCGAACTTCAGTCTAATATCTCCCGGTCTAATAGCCCTTCTCCATGTTGGAGGTGATTGCGAATTGCAGAAAAATGTTTGTTATTGATTCAACGCATCCGGCTGTATCGTGGGAAAATATCGAGT